TCGAGCATGTCGCCGATCTGTTCGTGGAAAACTTTGTTCATCATGCGCTGGTAAGTTGCCCCGGAATTTTTCAGTCTGAAGGGCATTACGTTGTAGTAATAGTTTCCCGAGATGGTCATGAATGCCGTGCAGTGTTTGTCACCCAGGGCCATCGGGATTTGGTTATAGCCCGAGTAGGCGTCCATGAATGACAACGTTTTGTAGCCGGCCGAGTTGTCGACCAGCATGTCTATGTTAGGAAAAGGAAAAGCATCTTTCGGGCAAGTCCGGTTGAGATCGGTATAATCAACGCACATCCTCCATTTTCCATTATTCTTTTTAACGAGTACAACATTTGACAGCCAGATGGAATACCGGGCTTCAGAAATAAAATTTGCCTCTAGGAGGTCTTTTACATCTTTCTCAGCAGCCTCCGTTTTTTCTGGAGACTGCCTACTCCTACGTTGTACTACGGCCCTAGCGGCTGGATCAATGGCGAGGTGGTGACAGGCGACCTCAGGGTCGAGTCCGGGCATCTCTGCGGCGCTCCAGGCGAACAGATCGGCATTCTCGCGCAAGCAGGCCTTGATTTGCTTCCTGGCCAAGTCGGGGAGGTCTTTGCCAATCTTCACTCCCTTGGTCGGATCCGTGCCGAGGGGGACGAGTTCAAAATCCCCGTCCGGTATTGGTCGGAGTGGGATTTGCTCGCCGTTGGATGGCTCGTCCTGGTCGAAGCGAGTGTCCAGAGCTATGGAATCGACTTTTGGTGGAGCTTTCTGGACTTCTTCCTCGGGGGATGCTTTCTTGTCGGGCTCCTGTCTTGTCCTTTTGGCAGGTCTGGTCCCTATGTCGACAGTATCACGTCCCTTAGAAGCGGCGTTGAAGCACCTGCGGGCAGCGGCTAGGTCTCCTTGGATAGTAGCTACTTGTGCCCTCTTGGTGTAGAACTTCATCTTCAGGTGGACGGTCGAGGGTACCGCTGTCAGCTCCGCCAGTGTCGGTCTCCCCAAGATGCAGTTGTACAGAGACGGGCAGTCGATGACTAGGAAGTGTACTTTGACTTGTCTTGTAGCCGTCCCTTCGCCGAACGTAACCAGAAGCTCGACATATCCCCAAGGTTTAGAGGTCGAGCCGTTGAAACCTTGTAAGTCCGACCCTACATACGGTGAGAGATGTGAGTCGTCCAGCTGTAGGGTTTGGAACAGTTGGCTGTACATGACGTCGACGGAGCTCCCTTCGTCGACCAGGATGCGATGTACATCGAAATTGGGCATTCTTGCCCTTATCAGTAAGGGGATGACCGCGTTCGGGGCTCCGCCGGGGAGCTCTTCTAGGTAAAAGGTGATGGGCTCTGACCTGCCCTTCACACTTTCGAACGTCACTGTTTGCGGGGGAGCCGCGTCGACCAGCTCGTCCAGCTTCCTCTTGGTAGAATTGATGGTCAAGTCGTTGAAACCGCCGCTGTTGATGACCAGGGCGGAGGGGAAATATTCTCACCTGCTGTGCGTTGTGAGCGGCTCCTGCAGGTGCTCGGGGAAGTCGAAGTCCTCGGGCCTGGTCACGGAGAAGGCGGTTTGGATAGGGACCGACTCGTCAGATGGTCGGACATCCTCCTTCGGCTCTCTAGTTTCTTGGGCGTCACGACGGGGAGCATCGTTCCGCCGGTATTGCGCGAGCCTCCCTCCCTTGATGAGGGTTTCGATGGCGTCCTTGAGGTGGACGTAATCCTCAGTCAGATGACCATGGGTCCTATGGTACTGACAATATTTGTTCTTGTCTGCTTCGGGCTTGGCGGGAGCAGGTCGGGGACGTTTGACACCGCCGTCCTTGAAATCAGTGCTGGCACACTCCGCCAGAATGCGCTCGCGGGAAGCTGTGAGCGGAGTGTACTCGGTGAACCGCCCCGAAGGTCCTCTTTGTTCCCGGACCTCCCGGGGTCTGTCTTCCTTCCTTTTCTCCCCGGTTCGTCGAGGAGGGGCTTCTTGGCGCGAGCTGCTGTTGGGACCACGAGTTCTGGGATCTCGAGCTCTGTTGGCCGCTTCCCTCTCCTCGTAGTCCATGTATGCCCGAGCTTTTTCGAGGAGGGCATTGAATGTCCGAGGTGGCTCGATACCCACGGCCTTTCTGAATTCCATGTCGGGGAGGAGCCCTCTCTCCAGCAAATATCTCTTCATATGGTCCGCACAGGGGACCTGTATTGCTTACTGGTTGAAGCGGTTGATGAATTCCCTCAAGGTTTCATCCTGTCTTTGGATGATGGCCTCGAGAGCCGCCTCGGTCTTCGGATGCCGCCGAGAAGCTGTGAAGGAACTGATGAACTGGTTCTTCAGGTTCCGCCACGAGGTGATTGAGCCCGGGGCGAGTCCTTTGTACCAGTCCATTGCCGCCTTCATGAGAGTCGTAGGGAATAGACGGAACTTGATGGGGCCCCCGACATTGTGATAATGAAGCATAGCCTCGAACCCGTCTATGTGGTCGACCGGGTCCGCGACTCCATCGTACTCCTTCAAGTGAGGGGGCTTCTCCATGCCCGGGGGGATGGGTGCTTCCATAATAGCCTGTGATAGGGGACCGCGGGGGTCGTCCTCGTCGCTTCTCTCCGGAGACAGAGATGGGGACCTGTAATATTGTCTGGCACGACGGTCCAGGTCGTGCTGAGTCTCTCTCGAGCGGGATGCTCGGTGGTTGAATTTCACACGCCCATCTCCGGAGTGCCTTCTTTCCTATCTCGCCGGGTCACGACTAGGTTCTCCGACTTGAATGATGGGGGGCCTCTCCAGATGGGGACGTTTCTCTTTTGGTCGGGGAGATTGGCTTTGAGAGGTCTCCCTGTAATGTCTCCGTGGGGGAGACGGATTTCGAGCTTCAGTCACTCGAGGAGGGGGAGTATGGGGTCTCCGATGCCTCCTAGGGGGTCTTCGCTCGTCTTCAAGCGCCCTCAGTCTCTCTCCTTGGGCGAAGATGAGATATTTCGTTTGATTAATTGCTGCGAACAGCGCTTGAGTTGTGGCATCCGCCCCGGCGGGGACGGGGACTTCCTGGAACCGGGCAGCTCTGTAGTGTGCGAGGGCCGCCGGGTCGTCTTCGAGTGGTGGAGGGACCGAGGAAGATGATGCAGTAGCTCCGTCTCTGTAGGTGGAAGTTCCGGAGGCGGTTGTCGCAGGAATGGTGTTGTGGCCGGGGTTGTCAGCGTTATCAAGGTGTCCGTTTTTGTCCGCGGTGCCGTTATTAGTGTCGACGACACGGACGTTCTGCTCATCGCGAGCTTGATCATCCATGACAGCGGTAGTTAAATTTGAGCTTTGGTCTTTGAGTTTTGTAAGATGGGGAAGCTAGTTTCCCACAGACGGCGCCACTGATCTGACCTGATCAGACTTGGACCGTCACGGCTGGCTCCGAGCTGAAGTTTTGAACGAAGTGGGGGGGGTACCTGCAAGGCACTCCGATGCTGAAGTAAGTAAGAGTACGAGCAGGCAAAGTGTGAGTATATGTGATAGAATGAATACCTGACCCTCTGGAAACATAGGGTATTTATAGCCCCCAGCGCTAGGCCAAGGTTCCTTCATTGGGCCGGGCGGGTTTGGCCCAATGGAGGAACTGCCAGGTTCTACGTGCGTAGTGGGGACTCGCACGTGGTCCCCTTCCTGGATGTCCTGCGTGAAGTGCGGGCGGACAAGGACGCGGTCTTTTCGGGGTCCCGTTGAGAGTGCAGTGGACCGTGTCCGCTGCTGAAGGAGTGCTCGAGCTGAGGTCGAGCTGGATAGCACGAGGACGGGGATGTCGCCCAGAGACGTATGTCGGGCATAGCTATGGTCCTTAGGTCGGCGTGACCCCTAGCAAGTCTGTTTAGATTGGGCCTTTATCGTTGCTCTTGGGCCAGCCCGGCCCAGTCCAGAATAATTTCCATTTTTTATTATTTTCAAAATCACAAAAAAATTTATTTTTTTATTATTTTCGTATATTTAATTAATGCATTTTTTAAAAAAATTATTTATTTGATTTTATGTCCTTTTTGTCAAAGTTGAGTGTAAAAATTATAATAAATATAAAAAATATTTCCTTTTCTCATTAATTACTCAATTTCTGGTTGATTAGTTTACTGACCAAAAAAAATTTGATTTATCAATTAATTTTATTTTCTTATTTCTGACCTAATTATCACTATAAATAAGTTATTCTTTTCCACTATTAGAACATCCACGATCATTCACACATCCAAAAAAAACATACGAATTCCACCACTTACCATTCTTTTTTGAATTTATGCTAGAATTTTGTCTTTAAAAAAACACTTATACAACTTTTGTTTTAGGGTATTGTTTTCTTGAAAAGACAATAACTAAATAACAATTATCCATAATTATCAACAATCACTCCCATAATATGTCATAATTTTACACAATCAACCATTCTAAGTATTCTTGAACACTTCTCTCGAACCAACATTTTTTTCTACTAACAATCCAACACACGCATCCAGTACATCAATTATTTTTTCCACAAATAAACTATTTTTCACCAAAATCTCTCACTCGTATACATTCACCCGTCGTCCCTTTTCTTTTCCCATCCATGTGCAAATTTCCACCTTAGAATTATTGCTTCTTTTACTAAAAACCACAAACAACACCAACAAAAACATAAACCTGTAACAACACTAACGCCACCTTTAAAACATTATCATTATCACAAACTTTCATCTTCAAAGGAAAAAAAATTACCATATCCCAAAATATAAACCTATTCACGCTCATGACAACATTAACCTTCCAATACAAAATACCTGCAAAACTTTCCTCAAATAAAATTCACCATTCATTAAACAACCAAGCTTTTATTTCAATTCAAACAACCAAACTCAACAACACAAAGACAATACTCACAGTACACACAAGGAAGGTTTTGAAATTGAAAAAAAGAAAAAAGAAAAGGATTTGTGCACGAACAAGCAAGAGAAATCCATAACTTCACTTCTCCCCCGCCGCCGAATGCTATAATGGTCGTCATCTAGCTCATTCACGTCATCCCTTCATTGCGCGACCCCACCAATCCGACGATGTACCTACGGTTCCGACCAGCTCCGTCTCCACGCGTGAAGCTCCGCACCTCCGACAAACGGCGACACCAGCCTTCGACGCTCCTTTTCCCGGCCGCGACTCATTCCGACGGCACGGAGCTACAACCTCTGCCCCAAATTGCAACTCCTCCCAAAATGATAGTCGCTTCTCTTCTTGATGTGTTGTTTGTATAAATTTCATGCTTTTTTTGTATTCTTTTTTGCAATAGAAGAGAAGATCGATTGGTATTTTTTGAAATATAAGAGTGGTCAACTTAATGTTTACTACGTAATTATTCAAAATCAAACAATTAAAATTCATGTGAAATTTGGTTTATGCCTAGAGCAATAATCGAATGCTATCGCTCAAAGCGATAAATGAACAAAGTCAAATTTCTTCCCTCGAGCGAATTAATTCTGATAAAGATCAAGATTCTTTATAAATACTCAATCGAATTTAATTATGATGAATATTTGAAATTCTTCGACGATTCAAAATTAATCTAAAATAGCTAACCAATTCAAAAACTCTTTTTTACTAACATTATAAAAATTCAAGATATTTTCGAAAAAGGATTAAATAGCATTTCCTTCAAACTTAACTGTGAATTGTGTCTACGATCATTCTTTTTCAAATCCAGACAAGGTTCAAGGATAATTCGAAAATGATTCTACGCAATCCTATAAAAAATACCAACCAGATACATTTGAACTACGAAATTCGACTCTGATTCTTCATAAGGAAATATGTAGGCACGCGGTTAAAACCAAGGCGAGTTCACAACTAAAAAATTAAATCCTTTCTCAACATGTATAAATACTGATTACCAAATACCCATTTTATCCTTAAACGTAAAAGTGGAGCCCCTCGAAAACAATGGAGATGAAGGGTGCCTAACACCTTTCCTTCGTTCAATTGACTTAGAAATTTAGAATCTCTAAACAATTAGGGTTATCTATTATTCCCCCGTCCTTAGGACGAAAATTAATGGTGGTAGCTCTCATATTTTTTTGCCGGTTACGATAACTGGAGACTCTGTTGGGGTCACAACCCTAGAGTTTAGAGCCTTCCCTGTCTTTTAGGTTTAGGGTTTCTTGGGTGCTTTCTATTTTTGGTATGTTTTGCTTCTATATATGTTCATTTATTTGTTATTTATTTATTCATGTTATTCATATTATCATGTTATATATTGTTGGTGTGGGATTTAATTTGAAATATAAAATCAAACCTTAGAAAGAAGGATTGTCTATTGGCCAAGAGGGATAAACACCCCTACGAGATTTTTTGATGACTTCACCTAGAATCAGTTGAATTCCAAGGAAGGAATATCTTTTAGAGGGCTAGACTATCTAAGAGGTGGGACTTCAGAATTTAGCTAATGACTCTTTGTATAACCCTTAAATAAATTCTCATAGTGAGACCTTATATGACCTAAGAGACGAAAGTCTCAGTCTACAAAGAGACTCCGTTTAAGGGAGGCCTTTGTGTCTTTCCATCTAGTGTTATCCATCATACTCTTAAGAAAACTACCCTTATGGGGAAGGGTAGTATATCCATAGAACCACCGTAGGATCCCTCCTATAGGATGTTTTATTAACATCTCGTCCTTCATAGTGAACCCTCCCGTGAAGTACATCTCATTACAATTCCTAAACCCACAAGGGTTACCTCTTCTCTATCCATCCCTAAATCTGCATAGGGTGTTCTCATTTTAATATCTATCCTAAATTCATAAGGGTTTCCTTTTGCCTACTACAATCCTTAGCCTGTAGGATTTTTTTGTTTATCGGAATCTCTAGCAAGTAGGGATTTTCTTTTGTAAGTTTTAATCCCTAACCCATTTAGATTTCCTCAAGTTTGTTATAATCTCTTGCTTGTAGGGTTTCTCTCTTGTCTTTCGTTATTCATAGCCCTTAAGGAGTTATATTCTGTTTGTCATAATCTCCAAGTCAGTATCAGGTGTCCTCCTTTCCATTTAAGATCCCTTATGTTTATCAATCCTTAGTCCATAAGGGCTTTCCTAGCCTGTAGGAATTCTCGTCTGTCTATTATAATCCATATCTTGTAGGAGTTTTCCTTTGTACATCTTTGATTCTTAGTCTTAATTCCTAGCCTGTAGGGATTTTTGTCTGTCTGTCTCAATCCTTAGCCTGTAAGGATTTTGTTAAGTCCAACACCATTGCTAAAGCCGTTTAGGTTTCCTTAGGTATGTCATAGTCCCTGAAACTAAGGTTCATCCTTCAACCCGTGTAGGGTATCCTTATGCTTACCTCGATCCTACGTTCGTGTTGCATTGTGTATCCATGAAACTTTTAGCATACCCATGCATTTTCGTACATACATACACTTACATTTCATGCATTTCCACCTTTGACTTTATCCAATTGCAATCCAGCTAGTAGATTTCCCAATTCTCGAGAACAAATTCCAAGCATGCTTCAAGAAAGCTATGAAGGAATTCAAGTAAATCCTAAATTATTGAAGGAGAAAGTCAACTGTTGAGCTTGGTCCTACAAGTCCTACAGAGGAGAGAAGGAAACCCTTCTTCATACAAGCCAAAGGCCTACAATTCCTAAAATGCAACTATCATTGGCAATTCCTCCATATCAGAGGTAATGGTATCGACAAGAGAAAATACCCTCGCACAATAGGTGGGCCCAAGAAAAGTCAAGGGTCACTCCAATACTTTGACAAATCCAAGAGCATTCAGAAGCTCTCCTAAAGTCAAGTGGATCAACAAAGAATCTATTACATAGGATCATTAGACTTTATCAATTACAAATTGTAATTTCCTAGTTATTAAGTTTCATTTGTTGTAACTTTGTATATTTTGACTAGTAATTCCAATAAAATGAGTATGCACGTTTTCAAAGTCAATTCATTAGTTTCACTCTTTCATCACTTTCCATATATAATCAACGACTTTTCCATTTCGCTTTTCACTTTTCCATCTTTCACCTTTAACAAACTTTGAGGGAGAATGATGTAAACTAAATAACATAATTTTGCTAAACATATGCTTTCAATGGTAAGACCGAGCTGACGATGTAAGAAATTGTTTCAATTCCTAAATAGTGGAGAAATAAGGAGTTAATCTGTAGTTAACCCCCTCGAGCTAGGAGTTGGAGTTTTGTTCTATTTTCTTTTAAAAAAACTTAATTTCAACTAAGGGCCGGGTAAATTTCAATTAATTCAATGGAGCATCCTAATCTCAGGAGAATCAAGTCAATCTAAGCAAAGGTTTAAGCACATCCTTTTCCTCGCCTCCATCATCCAAGGTTGAGGAGTTAATGAAGATAAAACCCACGATGTCTTCCTCCTTAGTACATCCTTTAAGATCGAGGAAATAATAAAAATGAAGCTTACAACAAACATCATGATAGTCACAAATGTTCAAAAGCAAAAAGAAAAAAGAAATTCAAAAAAAAGAAGAAAGCACGCTAAGTCAAGTAAAAAAGAGCTTGACTTAGGCAAAAGTTAGGACATCCCGATGGACCGCAAATTCAAAAGAATCGGCCCATGCAAAAATAAGGTATTGAAAACAAATAAATTGGAGAAAAATCTTATGACTACCACTTCAAGAATTATCAAGTCTTCTCATCAATGCTTGAATCTTATCAATTCTTATCACCATCACCGTGACTACGAATATTCTCTTGCAAACTGAATACACCCATTGGATTAATCATACTTAGAACTAGAGAACATCAAGGAGAATGAGGTGGGTTAAAATAAATTTTGAGCCTTATATTCTTTGTTTCTTAAACCATGAACCATGGCCACGTTACAACCTTCAAAATTCCTAATTGAAGCAAGGTTAACTATGAAAGTGTACTCGGCAAAATTTGCATTAAACTGGCTCTTATGTTTGTTAAAATTATTTCTAACCACTTCGCTTCTTCGAATCTCCATCTCTAAATCATCCATTTCTTCTCTGTGAAAACTTCGATTTCAAAACTTGCATGTGCATCACTAAAAACTACTTTTCAAAATGTACACTTTTATATATGAATCAATGCTTAGCATTGAGGAGATCTCAAAAATTGGTTTAATAAAAAACAATCCTTTCAAGGAAGCTCCTAACTAGGGACAAAGCATCTAAAGAATAACCATATAAACATAAGAAAGAATAATGATCGTAGGGGTATATCACATGAAGATCCTATTGACTAGGGGCGATCATTTTAAGATTCAATCAACTTGGGTCACATTTCAAAGCACCGTTCAATCAGGGGCATACCTTTCGAAGGAGTATTCCTTAATCAAGTTCATATCACAATATGGTAGGACTCGTTTTCCTTCTTCGGCAACTTATCAAGGCCGAAATAATCAGGGGGAAACCTTCGAGACTCGAATGTTGGGGCAATGCTTATCAAGTTCATCCTACTACATGTAGAATCCAAATTTCCTTCCAAGCAATTTCAAGTACAAACTTTTCAAAGATTCAAATCTTGGGGAAATCTAAATCAAGTCCATGGTGAGGTCCAACTTATTTCTAAGGGTACTTCCTCCAGATCCTGGAGATTGGAGGTATATCTTCCAAGATTCAAATGTTGGGGGCAGTTTATACCAAGTTCATCTAACGACGCTTAAGGTCCAAGTTCCCTCTTAAACAACTTCAAGGATGAACCTTTCAAGATTAAAATACTCGTGGAAATCTATATCAAGCTCATAGCATACCATGGAGAGATCTAAGTACTTTATAAGGGTACTTCTTCCGGATCTTGGAGATTGGGGGCATACCTTACAAAATTTAAATATTGGGGCAAATCGCCGCAAGGCTCGATCAAAAGAGTTATTAAAAAAAACAGTTCATCAAGGGCAAGTCATCCCAAGAGTCAATTACTCTGAGGCATGATATTTTAAAAAATAATGGGGTCATTCATACTATGATCATACTATTTCCAAACTCGTATCAAGGAAAATCTCTTCAAAGACCTTACCAGTAGATTGGGGTAAGGCATTCCACAAAGGGGCAAGCTCTCTACTTACTTTAACAATCCCTAGTGGATCTTTCTCCTATGTCAGCAATCTGCAAGTTCAAAATGAGTATCGGGAAATCATATCGGCATAACACCCTACCACCATGTGACAAGCAGCCTTGTTACATAAGCAACTTCTATGCGCCTTAACCATCTACGACCCATCATAAGGGCATTCATCAAAAGCATACAAGTTTGCATAAATCATTCATTAGGTTA